GCAGCGCCGCGAGCGCCGTGCTCGTGGAGCGGTTCATGGCTAGTCGCTCGACGCGAATCATCAAGTAGTTCGAGATGACCACCGTCGAGACCGCGGAGCCCATCGCTGCGGCAGAGAGGCACGCGAAGAGCAGCGAGCGGACTGGCGCGCCCTTGTAAGGCAGCTCATGCAGCGCGTCGGCGGAGAAGGCGGTGAAGGCGAAGCCGGTGACGAGCGTCGCCTGCGTGTTGTAACTGTTGAGCGAGTCGAGGAAGAACTGGAGCTGCTTCCGCTGAAGCTCTGTCTCGCGGTATTTTGACTCAGTGTTGACGCGCTGTCGCTCAGCGGTGAGCATGGACGTAGGCCCTCCAAATTCGGGATGGAGGAGGGCGCTTGCTTGGGTCTAAATTTAGTGCGTGTGAATGAACTTTAGAGGGAGAGATGTTTAGCAATACCTTAAAGAGAGGTTACAGGCGTGTAAGGTCCCAATACCAAACAAATCTAACACTCACACGTTTTGTTAACTTTAGTGTTACAGGCTACTCTCGTGAGGCTGTGAAAGCACGCCCACCCTAGCGGGATTGGGCACTTGCCCCCGAAGGCAAGTGCGTCTGATTCACAGCTTAGGAGAGTAGTTACAGCTGTTTTCGGCATAAATTTCCTTCGTTTTGACGCGCGCTCACGCCTCTGCGCACCGCGCCTCGGTACCGGCTTTGCTGCCACCGTGTCGAGGACGCCCAGCCAGCCCTCGCATAGTTGAAGGTCCCATCAACTCATTCCATCCATCGCCAAGTTGCTCGGCGGCCGCGCAATGCGCAGACCACCCAAAGCACCGCAGATGAGCCGTAAAACATGCCTGCACCTAGCTGCAAACGTGCCCACATTCTCCTCGGTGTCGTATCTGAGGCGGATTGACCTGGATTTGACTCCACCGCCGCCACAGTGCATGGAAACCGCCCTGCCGGCGCCCGTGGACGTCGAACGCTCGTGCGCCGAGTCTTCTGTAGCCACAGCAGCAGCTACGGCGGCGCAGACTGGCGGCAGCCTGCACGGCAGTAGTCCAGTATGACTGTGGTGCGGTGCGGCGGTCGACAGCCGGCGGCATCAAATGCGGAGTGATCGCGGGCAATGCGGACTCCACCGTGACGCCACAGAGCCGCGGTGCGAGCCATGTGGCTCTCACTCCTGTGCTGGGTCGCGCGCTGGCCGCGCCGGACGCAGTTCGTCCCGTCAGCCGGTCTTTGAGACCATTGCCAAGAATGCTACATGCGAACATGCTGTGCTACTTTTGCCGCTCTCCACTCTCTCCCACTCTTGTGCGGACTGCGGGCTGCTCACCTCCCCTCTCTCGTCGACGAAGCTCCCCCCGCGGAAGACCGCGCGTAGCCACGCCTTGACGATCGAGATGAGCGCGCTCGAGGCTCGCCCACCTACTGCCCCTGAGAGTTGGTTATGAGTGGGATCAGCTCCCCCCCTTGGGTTCGAAGCCGCCACAACCTCACACCCAACACCACAGGTGGGATCAGAGAGAGACTCCGCACCGGACACCGCCCGGGCACAGACTCCCCACCCATCGGATTGCACAGGGCCCCCTCGGAGCAGCCCACACAATCACGCATCGGCAGAATATTAGTGCTTGAGTCAGGCAGACAGCACAGACAAGGAGAGGAGAGAGAGAGAGGAGAGGGGAGAGGGTGAGGGTGTGTGCACACGTGTGGAGAGGGAGGGTGTCTGTGGTGGGCTGTAGTCATACTACGTGGTTACAACCACGCGCCCCTCAGGAGCTTAACCCCTAAACGCGGCTACCGAAACGGGGTGCCCGGAAGGGCGATATCACGGCGGCCTAACTGTGCCTCCGTGCGCTCGCCACATACCCCCTGCTGCCCGAGGGTCGTGTTAGTACTTTATTAGGCACATACAGAGGCGGTGGGAAGCCACCACGTTCCCTTCAAATTTTCCGCCACAGAGCTCCGGAGCGCGCTCTGCACGAGCTCCTGGGACGCGGTTTCGTCTTTCGATCCCAGACGGTCGTCGCACGTCGGCGCCCCTGAGGTCCGCTGTCATAGGTGTAGCACGCTACTAGACACACTGCCTCCAAGTTGAGCGGTGGAAAATTGTGACGAAGCCACGCACCGAAGCGCCGGCGTCCCTCTGGCAATCTGCCACCGACAGCAACACGCCTTTGATCACCGGCTGCTTGCGCTCCGCATACTCTCCAGAAGCTGTTGGTTGTGTGGCTGGTGCTACTTCTATCAGCCTTCCTCATGCACAATGTTGCCGTTGAGCTACGAGGCTGCAACCCGTCGTCATTTGAGTTTGCTGCCAGCCACACACAGCGCGTTCCTGCTGCACGAATGGTTGGACAGGTGTGAACAACACCTCGTGGGGGCGGCACCGCAGGCGTCCATTGAGGGGTCCAGGTGATAGCCCTGGGCGGGCAATCCATACGCCTAGTTGGGCTTCAGATCGCCCGATCGCGTCCCGGTGAACTGACGTCGGATTTGTGACGCCGCCGCACCGCGCCGCGGCCGGGGGCCCTCTGGAGGCTGAGGATGGCCGTGGCGGACCTAGACGAGCTCTGGGAGGTAAAGTGTCAGTGTATATATTGTAGAGGCTGACCACGTGCACAATATCTCTCACTCTAGCTAAGCCAGGGGAGGCTATTCTGGGCGTCCACACGGCTTACACCGGTGACCCTCGCGACAAAGCGAGCGCGTCCGGCAGAGCGACTGAAGAATCGAGGACAGAGTCACAACCGAAATCGCACAGTGACAGTCAGACATGCAACACGGGGTCCCAGGCCCCAGGGAAGGACAGGGGTGTGCTAGTCGCTACAGTCGTCAGTCGGACGGCTCCGGCACGTCTGATAGGCAGTTCGGAGACGCACCAAAGAAAGAAAGAAAGAAAACAGACAACGCAAGGGAGGGATGGGAGGACGGCACGCCGCCACCACACAGCCACAGGGATTTTTTTAGGAGAGGAGTGTTGTGGTGCTAGCCGTCGCCCACCCTCGAGCGTCTACCACTTCCTATCTCTCTTCGCAGTTTCTCACCAATTCTCGCAGCGACCTTCATGCCACCTCTCGTTCTTTGGAGACGCACCAACTAAATAAATAGAGCAGTCATCTCCAGGAGAGATGGGCGACGCACGAACACAGAGGCACAGTGCGCACCCCGCCCCGCTCACAGGGCGTGCATCACACAGGCGTGGACGTGACTCCTCGGGTTTCTGGGACAGGGGTGTGCTAGTCGCTACAGTCGTACTGGCAGGTCTACAAATTTTTCCGTCAGATGGATTTCTTTCCGCGTTTTCATCCCCAAACGAATGCTCAGCCTCTTCTCGTTGTCGCTGTCGCCGTCGCTGGCGCTGTCGCCGTCGGTCTCCGGCAAACTCGCCCGCGGCCCGAGCCTCTGCTGCCGCGCCGCCGTCGTGATGCAGGCGGCCGCGGGCGAGGTTGCGGACGAAGAGTACACCACGACTGCGAGCGGCCTCAAGTACCTCGACGTCGTTAGTGGCAACGGCGAGGTTGCAGAGAAAGGCGCGGTGGTTCAGGTGGACTACACAGGGACGCTCGCCTCGGACGGCACGCAGTTCGACTCGAGCAAAGGCCGCTCGCCGCTCGCATTTGAGCTCGGCGCCGGCCGCGTGATCCCGGGGTGGGACGAGGGCATTGCCGGAATGAAGGTGGGCGGCAAGAGAACGCTGGTGGTCCCGGCGTCGCTTGCGTACGGAGAGACGGGTGCGGGCGCCAGCATCCCGCCCGACTCGGACCTGGTGTTTGAGACTGAGCTGGTCGGCATAGCCACTGGCGTGGACGCGCTCGCCTCTAAGATACCTGGCGGCCTGCCCAACCTGATCCTGTCCTCGGTGCTGCTGCTCTCCTTCATTCCGTACTTCCTCCCGGAGGATGTGCGTCCGGACCTGTGGAAGTGAGTGACGGCCCCGCGAGCCCAACGGCGTCTGTCCGCTCAACGATGGCACAAATATATATGACTAGCTTGGTGGCTCGCTAAACGCTCGCCTCGCTGTCATGTGTGCGTGCGTACTTCCCGAGTGGCGGAGCTATACTCCGAGGCAGGTCAGAGGTTGGTTGTAAAATGAACGAAAACACGCTATTGCACACTCACAACATACGTCTCGCACAAATATGCCATTTCGGTTGGACTTGGAGGCTCCTTCTGCGCGCGCCATTTCTCAGTCGCGCGACGCTTCACAGTGTACGCCCTGTCACACTCCCAACACTGCCATGTGTACCCATTCCCGCGGCGGTTGAAGTCCTCGGTCGACTTCACAGCCTTGCACTTGCCGCACTTCTTAACTGCAGTGCCGTCCCCCATTTCCTGTACACATCCAGAGACCCCCCTGAGATTTGATTGAGAACTTGTTGAGCTCGCGAGCTATCACGTGTGTTTCGTCGATCGGCCGTCCCTATAAGTAATCTCAATGAGAATGGGGTGTGAATCTCATGTTCACAGCAATTATGCGCGCCTTTTTTTCACGCGCAGGGGTTTTAAATCTCAGACACTGCAATTGTGTCCTGACTACTACCGTCCGACCTGCCCACTCTGCTTGTGGTCCTGTCCTGCCGCACACTGCCGCACAACTGCCCCTGTCCATGCCTGCCCGATCCCCTACCTGCCCCGGGTGTGAAATCCACACTGCCCACCCCTGCCCTCAGACCACACTCGACACTGCCCACCGTGCACCGAGGGGTGTGTGAATAAATAAAACTGCCCGCTCCCGAGGTCTCCGGAGAAACTTCATCTAGACCGTATATGGCCGTTCGCTCGCGAGTACGCTAAATCACAACAAAACTACCCTAGTAGAGCCGTACCCACGGCATCACAGCGTGCACAGAGACATGGCGCCTACTAGCTACTACCATACCGGGTCCTCCCCACCGCGTCACAGTCAAGCTCACGCAGGCAGAACAGCTAGGGACGCCCGCACGCACAGGAGACTACACATGCGCCGACGAGAGAGAGCGACCCCCCCACATAAATTACCCGCCTCTCCGCGAGTCAGTTCGGGGCGGAGCCAACCTTGACCGGCACCGCCGCGCCGGGCGGCAGCGAGGCCGAGTCGGACCTCCGCCGCCCCTTGAGCACCAGCTTTCCTCCTGCGAGCTCGTGGACGAGGATGCCTGAGGCGGCGGCGCGCTCGAGGATGGCCTCGCGCGGGAAGGCGTCGGACAGCTCGAAGAGGGGGACGTACTTGAGCAGCATCGCCGCCGTCCGCACCTGCG